TTTCTGCATTAGTCAAGATAATCTTGTGGTTTTTCCTTCATTCTATGAGTGTGTATTATATTGATTAATTTCCATGTGTTGAGCCAGCCTTTTATTCCTGGAATAAATCTCACTTGATCATGGTGCATAATCTATTTAATATGCTTCTGGGTTCATCCCTGGCTGGTGTGGTTCAGTGGATTGAGTATCAGCCTTCGAAACAAAGGGTCACCGGTTCAATTCCCAGTCAGGGCACATGCCTGGGTTGCCGGCCAGGTCCCCAGTGGGGGGGGTGCATGCAAGAGGCAACTACACATTGATGTTTCTTTCCCTCTATCCCTTCCCCTCTGTCTAAAAATAATTAAATAAAAAATCTTTAAAAAATATGCTTCTGGGTTCAGTTGCTGGTGTTTTGTTGAGGATTTTTGTCTCCAAGTTTAAGAGGTGGCTGAGCATCTCGGTTAGGAAACAGAAGTCTGACAGATCTTATGAGAATCCCAATGCTGCCACTCATGATGGGTGTATTAACAGCCTCAGTTTCTTCACCTGTAAAACTGATTCATGACAGTGTGCACCTCCTGGCATTGTTTGAGGATTTCATAAAAGGATGTAAGTCAGGGCTCAGCCTGCGCTGGATACATTTACACTGACAGATATTATGGTATTTCTCTGTGCCGTACACCTTGTATATGTTAATTTATTTAATTCTTGCGGTGACCCTGGTGAAGTAGGGGCTGTTGGGGAGCATCTCATTTTATAGATGAGGAGGCTCAGGCACTGAGAGGTGAGGTGATTTTTTTTTTAGATTTTATTTATTTTTAGAGAGAGGAAGGGAAGGAGAAAGAGAGGGAAAGAAACATCAGTGCATGGTTGCCTCTCACACACCTCCTACTGGGGACCTGGCCTGCAACCCAGGCATGTGCCCTGAGTGGGAATCGAACTGGTGACTCTTTGGTTTTCAGGCTGGTGCTCAGTCCACTGAGCCACACCAGCCAGGGCATGAAGTGGTTTTCTTGAGAACACACAGCTGAAAATTGGAAAGCCAGCATCAATCCAGGCTTTCTGGCTTGGTGCCTCTCAAGTCAGCACTCAGGAAATAGTGACTGTTGTTTTTTACTCCCAATGTTTTATTAGAAAATGTTTTTCAAACACACAGCAAAGTCAAAAGGCTTGTACAGTAACCAGTCACCTGTACACATACCACCCAGTTCCTGCCATTCACACCTGTCTGTGCTCACTCTGTTACTTACCTGTCCATCTCAGTTTTGATACATTTCCCCATTGCAGATACCAGAATACTTTTCCAAACACTTCAGCATGCATACCATTAAGTCAATTTCATATTTTTTCAGCACTTTTTAAAATAAAATAACTATTTATACAGCTTCTTGTCATGCATAATTGTTTTGATCCATTTACCGATGGTCACTTCAGCTGCTTCCAGCACTTGGCTGTTGTAAATTGTGCTGCTATAAACATTGGGGTGCATGGGTTCTTTTGAATGAGTGTTTCAGGATCCTTAGGGCACAATCAGTGGGATCACTAGATTAAAAGGCAGTTCCATCTTTAATTTTTTTCTGAGGAAATTCCATCCTGTTTTCCACAGTGGCTGCATCAGTCTGTATCATTTGCACCTTTTGATTTCTCTTCCTTTTTTAAAACTCTCCTTACTGTCTGATTCAATCTCTGACATGGAGCTTTCTGCAGATTTATGTAAATGGTTTCTTCTTTTCATTTTTCCTTGTTTCTTATCCACATCTACAGAATCTGGAGAACTGCTGGGAGAATAGAACTTGGAGGAAAAGATAAATACCTACCAGATTTCTTGCCTTTTTCTTTTTTTCTTTTGTCTGCTTTTTGGATGAGCTCCCACTCCCACCTAATAATTTCTCCCTGTGTTTTTCTAAGTCTTTCCTCCAGTTCTCACTCATTTTTTTCTTCAAATTCAATCAGTGCCTTGGAGCCTTTCTTTTACTTCTTCCCAGGTGGGCCTTGGTTGATTCAGGTAATTGACCTTGGATTGTTGAGCCTGAAGACTTGATTGAACCCCCTGATCTGGCCATTGTTCTTGGGATCACATTGGCCTCGTGGTTATCCCTGTGGAGCTGAGCTGAGCGCACAGTCAGACCTTGAGGGATACCAGCCCAGGGGAGCAGCCCCCCAGCTCTTCTTATTTTGAAAAAAGCACATACCATCCACAAACCACAGTTACACCTTTGCTGAGTTTTGGCAACAGCATACACCTTTGGAACCTCAACCCCTATCGCACTTTAGAACACGACCACCCATCCGTCCTCCCTGCCCCTTCCCAGTGGGTCCCCTCCCCATCCCCCCAGAAACAGCCACTATTCTGACTTTTTCCATAGTAGATGAATTTTGCCTGTTTTGGAACTTTATGTAAATGGGGCTTTCTGGATTTCTGGCCAAGATGGAGGCATAGGTAGATACACTGTGCCCCCTCACACAACCAAAAGAAGAACAACAACAAATTTAAAAACAAAAACCAACCAGAACTGACAGAAAATCGAACTGTATGGAAGTCCAACAACCAAGGAGTTAAAGAAGAAATATTCATCCAGACTGGTAGGAGGGATGGAGGCGGGCAGTGGGGCAAAGAGGACTCAAGACAAGGCAGTGGCTTCAGGACCAAGGTAGGCAAGGCGGCAGCTGATGGAGCTGGTGAGGTGATGGCTTGTGGACTGGGCGATCCCACATTCATGTGCAGATAAACCAGGAGGAACAACTGGGAAGTGAGACAGAGCACGCAACGCAGGGTTCCAGCTCAGGGAAATAAAGCCTCAAAGCCTCTGACCGAAAACACCTGTGGGGCTTGAGGAGCCAGCAGAAACTCCTAGCCTCACAGGAGAATTTGTTGGAGAGACCCACAGGGTCCTAGAAGTTACACAAACCCAGCCACCCAGGAATCAGCACCAGAAGGGCCCAATTTGATTGTGGGTAGTCAGGGACGTAACTGAAAACCCATAGAGAGCAGAGCAAGTGGCACTGTTCCCTCTCGGACTTCTCCCCCACATACAGCATCACAACACAGCAACATGGGTTACCCAGCCCTGGTGAACACCTAAGGCTTCGCCCCTTACTATGTAATAAGCACGCCATTACAAAAACAAACAAGCAAAAAAAACAAATGGCCCAACTGAAAGAACAGATCAAAGCTCTTGAAAAAATACAACTAAGTGACAAAGAGATAGACAACCTATCAGATGATGCTCACAGACTTGGTTGAATATGGTCACAAATTATAGGAAAAAATGAAGGCTATGCTAAGTGAAATAAAGGAAAATGTACAGGGAACCAACAGTGATGGGAAGGAAACCAGGACTCAAATCAACAGTGTGGACCAGAAGGAAGAAATAAACATTGAACCAGAACAGAATGAAGAAAAAAGAATTCAAAAAATGAGGAGAGGCTTAGGAAACTCCAGGACATCTTTAAATATTCCAATGTCCAAATCATAGGGGTGCCAGAAGGGAAAGAGGAAGACCAAGAAATTGAAAAGTTATTTGAACAAATAATGAAGAAGAACTTCCCCAATCTGGCAAAGGAAACAGAGTTCCAGGAAACTCGGAGACTCCAAAAGAAGTTGGACCCAAGGAGGAACACACCAAGGCATATCATTATTACATAAGCGAAGATTAAAGGTAAGGAGAGAATCTTAAAGCAGCAACAGAAGAGGAGACAGTTGCCTACAAAGGAGTTCCCATACGACTGTCAGCTGATTTTTCCAAAGAAAGCTTGCAGGCAAGAAGGGACTGGAAAGAAGTATTCAAAGTCATGAAAGGCAAGGATCTCCATCCAAGATTGCTCTGTCCAGCCAAGCTATCATTTAGAATGGAAGGGCAGATAAGGTACTTCCCAGATAAGGTAAAGTTAAAGGAGTTCATCATCACCAAGCCCTTATTATATGAAATGTTAAAAGGACTTATCTCAGAAAAAGAAGATAAAAAATATGAACAGTAGAATGACAACAAACTCACAGTTATTAACAACTGAACCTAAAACAGAAACAAAAACAAACTAAGCAAACAACTAGAACAGGACCAGAACCACAGAAATGGAGATAACACGGAGGGTTAGCAACAGGGGAGTGGGAGGGGGCGAAAGGGGGAAAAGGTTCAGAGAATAAGTAGCATAGATGGTAGGTAGAAAATAGACGGGGAGGTTAAGAATAGTACAGGAAATGTCGAAGCTAAAGAACTTACGTGTATGACCCATAGACATGAACTAAAGGGGGAGAATGTGGGTGGGAGGGGGTGTGCAGGGCGGAGGGGAATAAAGGTGGGAAAATAGGACAAGTGTAATAGCATCACCAATAAAATATAAAAAAAGAACTTAATATAAATGGAGGCTTACAGCATTGCCCTTGTTTTCTTTTTGCATTCCCATCTCCCCACCCCCTGCTCCCTTTGGCAAAACCAGCTCGTTGTCTGTTTCTGTTTTGTTTGCTCATTTATTTTGTTCTTTAGATTCCACAGATAGGTGAAATCGTTGTTTTCTTTCTCTGACAGTCTTATTTCACTTAACATAATTCCCTCTAGTTTCTTCCATGTTGTTGCAAATGGCAAGATTTCATTCTGTTTTGTGGTCGAGGAACATTCCACCGTATCTATGTACCACATCTTCTTATCTGTGTTGCTGAACACCTGGGTCCTCCCTTACTTTGGCTACTGTCAACAGTGCTGCAATGATCACAGGGGTGCATATGTGTTTTTGAGTTAGTATTTGTTTTCTTCAGATAAATAGCCAGAAGTGGGATTGCTGGGTCGTATGGCAACTGTATTTTTATTTTTTTGAGGAATCTCCATATTATTGAACTCTTGTTTCTGGCTTTTTTCACTTGGGGCTGTCATTCGTACCCCTCTCCGTGCAGGTATCCACTGAGGCCCAGAGAGGTACAGGTACTGCCCGGGTCACCCAGCACCTAACTGCTGGAGCCCAGGGCCCGCGATGTCCAGTCCACACAATTCAGCGTCTCTAACCCCCGCCCCAACCTCCTCCCACAGGGCGAGAGGCTGAGTCACGCTGTGGGCTGTGCTTTTGCCGCCTGCCTGGAGCGGAAACAGCGGCGGGAGAAGGAATGTGGGGTCACGGCCACCTTCGATGCCAGCCGCACCAGCTTCGCCCGGGAGGGCTCCTTCCGCCTGTCTGGTGGTGGGCGGCCCGCTGAGCGAGAGGCACCGGACAAAAAGAAAGGTGGGTGCTGAGCAGAGGGCAAAGCAGGGCAGAGTGGGCCCAGGTGGGGCCCGGGTCCGGTTTACAGGGAAAGCTTTAGAGGCACAGGGACTCAACAGTTTACAAAGCAGAGCACCAAGCACCATGTTCGGTTACAGTTTACAAAGCTCGCTTCAGTGGAAGGAGTTCTTTGGGCAATATTCTATAGGCCACAAATCCCAGCCAAGCTCACCAAGTGCTTCAGTACCTGCCAACTCAGGGAGGTCCCAGGCTTTTCAAACTGTGTGGGGAAAAATGAAATAGAAAACACCAGAGTAATGGGTGGGAAGTAGAACGGCTAGGGTAGGGGGGAGTGGTGGGGGAGAAATGGGACAACCGCACGTGAACAACAATAATAAATAAATAATAAAAGAGAAAACGCTAGAATAATCGAATGTACTTAGGGTAAGTATAGTTTAGAGACAGTTTTATTTCAGTATACTCTGTATTTTGCCATGATTGATGTGCACCTTTCTGCCCAAATTTCTGAGGGGAAAATAAGGATGGGCATTATACATGGGTAGTACTAATTCCATATCTACATAAATGTTTTTAATTCTTTTATTTATACTTACGCACTAAAAGTGTAACTCTAGAAAGCAATAACGATATCCATATGCAAAAATAATACCCTGGAGTACGATGATCTGTTTTGTTTCTAAATATAAATAAATAAATAATTGGATTAAAAATTAAAACAAAAGATTTCTTTTTTCCCTGAAAGTTTGGGCCCAAAACTTGAGTGCACATCACACATGGCAAAACATGGTGTATATTTGCATGTGTGTGTGTGCATGTGTGTGTGTGGAGTGGGCTGCCATGTAAAAGGTGTTTTTTACTCTGGGTTGCCATCAAGAAAGTCTGAAAAATACTGATAAACTCGAGTATTATGATGTAATTTATTTTTTTTTCTTGTGGATTCTAGTTTTTAAATTTTTGGAAAACATTGCTTAATATTTACAAAGAATTTACCATTGAGAACTGTTCCAGATTAAAGGAGATAAACATATTTGACAGATATCGATAAATGCAGTTGGTGGTCCTGAATTGGATGCCGAATTATGTATATAAATATGTACATATATATGTATGAATATCTATAAAGGACACAGTTGGGACCATTGGGGAAACGGTACTAATAGTGTTATTCGTGTTAAATTCCTCAAGTGAGAAATGACCCTGTGTTCTGTAGGAGATGGGCCTCGTTTTTAGGAGAGGCATGCTGAAGGACTTTGGGTGAAGGTGACTGCATGTTACTCTTAAATGGTAGAAAAAATTATGGAAGGAGAGAGAGAGCAAATATGGTAACTTGTGGATGCTGGGTGCCGTTGGTTAAGAGAATCTGTGTGCTCGTTGTTCTATTACCTCTTTTCTGTGCATTTAAAATTTCTAACTAAAAAGTTAGGAAAACAGAAATTTTTATCACTTACTAGGATATTAGAGTTTACGAAGGATGTTTTTATGTATAAGCTACATGACCATTTGTAAAGCTCTTTGCAAACGCACAGTTCTGCACAACTTACAAAGTGTTTTACTGTTCAAATTATCAGAATCCTAAGAGTTTATCATTGGCAAAGCATATTGCAAAGTGAACTTGGCAAAGGGCCTGGTCCATAGGTGCTTTATTATTCACAAGGAACACACAGAGTACCAACGTGGTCCTTCCCAGCATGCAGATACTTCCTTACTGTTAATATAGGAAACCAGAATTTACAAAGACTGGTCATATGGTTTAGAGGTAGCAAAGAGTTTTGCTGTGTCCAGAGGATATTAGAGTTTCCAGGTACTTTGCACTGTAGAGAGCACTCCACAGCTGCGCACAGCAAAATGAGAGCGCAGAGTGCGTTCTGACCTGCCAAGCACATCTGGCCGCGTTCCACCCTTGGCGCATTCGTGGGGTGCAGGCGCTGCACTTGTGCAGGGACCTCTTCCCGTTTGGGAGCAGAGCAGTGCGCGCTCCACAGAGTGTGTGCGAGCTTTTGTCGGATTATGAAGCGTGGAACGTGTACTGCCCCAGCTGACCCTCTGAGGAGGCACGGGGTGGGGCTGAGGGGCGCAGCAGAGGGATGTTTATCTCAGGTTTACTGTTGGGAAACTGGAGGGGACTCCCTGAGGTCACACAGTGAAGGGATTGTGCGGGAGGGGCGGCGGGCAGGGGAAGTTTCCTGATTCCAACCTGTCCCAGGCTGTTTCCACTGGCCTCGGCCAGGCCTGGCTGAGAGCATCACCACCTCAATGCGGAGGATGGGGAAGAGACACTGGGTGACTTCCCTGCCCTCTCTGAGCCTGAGTCTAATTGCTTTGGCACTCAGGCTGCAGCTTGGGTGAGATGCTAATTGGAGGGTGGGTGGGTATTTGTGCACTGGCAGGGGTGAGGGGACCCTGCCATTGAAGAGCACACCTGGTGCCAAGTAGGAGGACAGGCGTCTCTCAGAGAACAGTCCCAGAGTGGAGGGAGGCCAGGCTGAGGGGCTGGGGAGACTTGAAAGCTCTCCGGAGGAAGAAGTGGCCAAGCTGGGTCTGGAAGGATGGGTAGCAACCGGAGGAGGAGAGGAGGTACTTGAGGTGGGAAGACTAGTGGGACATAGAGAGACAGAGAGAAGAGCACACAGGACGACAGGCAAAGACAGCATGAGGTGGAAAGACCAAACCAGGAGAGACAGGTTAGGTTAATTGTTTGGACCACCAACTCCAGAGTCAGCCCGCTTCTTGCTAGCCCTGGCTCAGGCAAGTCATTTACCGTTGGTGGGGCTCAGTTTCCACATCTGTAAAATGGGGATACTGGCGGTATTGACTTCATTGGGTGGTTGTAAAGGTGGAATGAGTTAATAATTGCAAAGCACTTGGAACAAGCCCTGGTACATTGGTCATGCACCAAATAAGTGTCTATAAATTAGCCTGAAAAAGAGACAGAAGGTCTCGGGGAAAAACAGGAGAAACAGCAGCGGAAAACAGGGTGCTGGTAGAAAGCTAAAGAAACACAGACAGTCAGGTTGGGGGACATTTCCTCAAGGGCACCCTGGGGAAAGTGGTCTTGACTTGGGTGGGGGTGAGGGACATTGAAGGCCGTGACCAGCCTGTCTTGAGGCATGATACATTGGGTGAGGAAGGCAGCCTGGGGGTGTGGGGGCGATCGCGGGGATCAGGTGGGAGGGGCCTCAAATGCCAAGGCGAGCTGTCTAACCACCTGTGTCCCCCATGTCTCCAGCAGAGGCAGCAGCTGCCCCCACTGCGGCTCCTGGGCCTGCCCAGCCCGGGCACGTGTCCCCGACACCAGCCACCACATCCCCTGGCGAGAAGGTTGAGGCAGGCACCCCAGTGGCTGCAGGCACTCCAGCGGCTGCCATCCCCCGTCGCCACGCCCCCCTGGAGCAGCTGGTTCGCCAGGGCTCCTTCCGCGGATTTCCGGCGCTCAGCCAGAAGAACTCGCCCTTCAAACGGCAGCTGAGCCTACGGCTGAATGAGCTGCCATCCACACTGCAGCGCCGCACTGACTTCCAGGTGAAGAGCACAGGTGAGCCCCGGGCTCAGGGAACAGGGACTCTGGGGTCGATGCTGCTGTCTGTGTGCACAGGAGTCATAGAACAGGTGGCGGGGGCCAAAACTGGTTAGCACTATCTGCCGTGCGCGAAGGTGAGGAGGTGGAGCACACTGTGAGTGGTTAGCTGTTTCTGTCCCTGGCGGGGGGAGTAGAGAGGTAGGAAAAGTCATGATGGATCAGCCACGTCTGCTATGGACGAAGGATAAAGAAGATGGCACAAGTCATGCTGGATTAGTGATGTCTGTGCAGGTAGGGAAAGGCTAGAGTGGGTGGCGTGCGGGATTGATCAGCCATGGGCAAGGGGAGGAGGGCAGCCGCACCCAGGCCTTGCATTTGTTCAGGAGGAAACCCGGGCACCACAGGCTAGTGCTCCCTTCAAGTCATAGCCAGTAGAGCCATGAGATCAGCCCAGTGAAGAATTCAGGCAGGGAGTAATGGAGGATTGTGATCGATTAACAATGTCTGTCTAAGGCATGGAGACTAGGGTGACAGCTTACATCACAGTCCTGGAACACTGTCTGCCACGAGCAGAAAAAGAAGGGGCAGGTGGCACACCACATGAGTAATTAGCAGAGTTTTCTGTGGGCAGGGGAGAAAGAGAGGGCAATAGGAGTGTTATGTTTCACCCAAGGGCAGACTGCCAGAATTCGGCCAGAGGAACCATTCAGTGAAAGGCAGGAGCGAGCACTGGAATCGTGAGGTCAGGGAGCCCGGTGATGGGTTTGTGATGTCACTTGTGGGCGAAGGACTGGCCAGGGCAGTGCTCACTGTCACTGCTCAGCAGTGTCTGCCATGGCTGGTGCCAGGAGAGAGACCACAGTGTCCTGTTTTGCTTGGAGGGAAGATGGAGTTATGAGGACCAGTCCTGTCTTCCTGTTTTGCCAGGAGAGCCATGAGGTCTGGCCAAGTGAGGGGTGAGGTGAGCACAGAGTTCAGTGGGGAACTAAAGCATTGTCTTTGATTACCAACATCTGCTGTGGGGCAGGGAGAGGAGAGGAGAGGTGGCGCCATGCCTTGCCTGAGGGAGACACGCAGGCGGGCTGTCTTTGCTCCTGCTGTCAGCAAAGTCCTGCGGTCTGGCCCGCTCTCCTGCCTTCAGACCAAGCCGGAGACGTGCGCCCCTCAAGGCTGCGGGGACTGGTGTGGGAGGTGTTCATCTGTATCTAGGAGCTGGGCTGCTACAGAAGGTGACTGCCGAGCAGATGCCCGTGCTTGTTGAGAATGAGGCGCGCTCACTCCGTGTCCTGTAGCAAGCCTTTTTGGCTGTCCCTTTGCCACCTGACGTTAAGCACACCCCCCCAGGGCTGTCACACAGGCTCCCTGAGAGGTGGCGGCTCCTGAGGCTGTGTTTGGAAGCCTTGCTCCTGCAGCCATTTGCTCACTGGTGTGGCTGTGACTCGCCCCACACAAATCTCACAGACACACACAGACCTCACAGTTTGCCGCAGGTGTCACACACATTTCGTGGTCACACAGTCACGTGCACACCGTTATCACACACAATTGGAAGTTGCACAGTCAGATGTTGTAGTTACACACATTTAGAAAGCACAGACCCAGAAATCACATACCCAAGTTACACTCACAAACCACACACCCGATTCATGCAAACTCATAAGTCACACATGCAGATTCGTGCAAGTTTGCGAACACACTCATACTTCACACAGGCAGATTGGCTCACACTTGGGAGTCAGTCAAGTGGCCACACTCCTGGATTTCAGTCACTCTCAGATGCCACATCCTCAGAAGATGCACACTCATTTGCACTAACACACACAGCCATCATATAATTGACCTGGAAACCTAACACCCCCACCTGTGCACCCCCATGTCGCACCTGCTGACTCTCAGTCAATTTTCCTCCTGTTCACTGGAGCCCCACGCGTGTGCCCTTAGAGACACACGCTTGCTGAGCCGTCTCAGGCACTTGCCGCACACCACGCCTGGCGGTCCTGTGTTGTCTGTCGTGTACTCGGGTGGTACCCTGGCTCGTCCAGGGGCTTGTGAGGCCACTACTCCTGTTCGGTGTCTTCCCAGCACCCACACATCTCTGCCCTCGTGACACACGGGCTGGTCGGGTGGGTGGACCGGGCCCCACTCTGCCGCCCAAAGTGGGACAAATGATCCCCAGCCAGTGGACAACAGTGTGGCCAACATCCATTCTGACTAGTCTGTGCTCTTGCTACGGACATGGTTAAACCTATTTTTTAAATTAATATATGGTAAACATTTCAAATATTTCTTCTGGTGTGTGGCTGCAGACAGGTGCTTCCTGAGGTCCTCCCTGATCTGAGGTCCCTTTGACTGTCACCATCCAGTTTTTCGGGAAGTTTCCTGGGGCTGAGCAATCGGGGGGGAGTGACAGCTCTGTCACCACATCAAGAGTATATTAAGGGAACCTACGTATGAGGCGCATCTTGGGCAGCAGCAAGACAACATGGACATTCCCCGAGCCATGTGACAAGCACTAAGGGTTTATATAAGACAGGGGTGCTGGGGCGTGACCTGCCCTGGAGGAGGGAAAGCAGCTCAGGTCCCCACAAAGGACAGGGGCTGATCAGACGGTCTCCTCGGGGATTTACAGGACGCAGTCTTTGTTCTGGCCCTGGTTTAGCTCATGGGTCCAGTAGTGGCCACGTCAAGGAATGGTCTCTCCTCTACGCCAGCATCACACACTACTTGTACCACTCACATGTCACATTCACATACGCAGAGTTGCCATTTTTGTGGCTGTGGCCACTTAGTTACTGTGGAATGGACCCACCAGCCCACATACCTTGTGAGAGGGCCCCTGGAGGGCCAGGGGCCAGGGACAGGGAGTGGGCCTGGTCACTGACCTCCACCTTCCCCTGACTCCCCAGTGCCTGAGGTGGAGCCTCCTGGTGCCAGCGACAGTGACAGCATCAACGCTCTGTGCACACAGATCAGCTCGTCCTTTGCCCGTGCAGGAGCGCCAGCCCCTGGGCCCCCGCCAGCTGCCACAGGTAAGCCTGACCCTTCTCCTGGGGAGGGCGCCTCGGGGCCTCCTGCACTCTCCTGCTCCATTCAGGGCTTCCTCAGGGCCTCCAGGAATCTTGGAATCCCACAGGCTCAGACCCATGGGTCATCTGAGGGCTGCAGGATCACCTTACACCCGTGGGATCATTCTTAAACCTTCCTGCCTTAAAGTAATAGCATTTAGAAACCTAGAGCCTTAGAATCACAGGATATTCAGATCTAGCAGATCTGGAACCATGAAACCTTGGCATCTCACAGCTTTGGAAGAGTGCTCTCTGAGAAGCAGCACCAGGGAATCACCTCAGGAACGAACACTTGTCTTAGAACTGAGGGAGCACCTTCAAATGGCAAACAATGTAAATTTAAACCCCTAGAATCTTAGAAAACACAAACTTAACACCATGGACCCTTACTCATTGTGTCAAGTGGTACAGTCCGAGAAAGATTCATGGAGTCTTAGAATCTTAGCCTCATAAAACAAAACATTCTCAAAATACTGGAACCAAGGGTGATGCTGAAAACAGTGAAGTTACAGATTTGGTTCTGACCCACGAGAAGTGAAGCTGGCCTGGGCGCGTGTCTGTCTGGCCTGTACTTGTACATCTGGGGACTTAGCGTCTCAGAACTGAGTTTTTTTTTTTTTAAGATTTTATTTTTATTTATTTTTAGAGAGGGAAGGGAGGGAGAAAGAGAGAGAGAGAGAAACATCAATGTGCAGTTGCTGGGGGCCGTGGCCGGCAACCCAGGCATGTGCCCTGACTGGGAATCGAACCTGTGACACTTTGGTTAGCAGCCCACACTCAATCCACTGAGCTACGCCAGCCAGGGAGAACTGAGTTTTCTTAGCACTGCCAAACCGTCATTTGGTCCAGGAAGGGTTCGGCCAGGCCCCAGCATCTGCTCCAAGCCTCCGGTTCTTTCCGATGCAGCACCTGCCCTCATTTGCCTCTCTCCTCTGTCCAGGGACTTCCGCCTGGGGTGAGCCGCCCATGTCCCCGGCAGCCGCCTTCCAGCCCGGGCACAGGCGGACGCCGTCGGAGGCCGAGCGGTGGCTAGAAGAGGTGTCCCAGGCGGCCAGAGCACAGCAGCAGCAGCAGCAGCAGCCTCCGCCACCATTGTCCTCAACGCCCGCCGTGCCCCCGCCCCTCCAGCCCTTCCCTGCCCCCGTGGGGCCCTTCGATGCTGCGCCTGCCCAGGTGGCCCTGTTTCTGCCTCCCCCACACATGCAGCCCCATTTCGTGCCCACCTACCCCAGCTTGGGCTACCCGCCCATGCCCCGCGTGCCCGTGGTGGGCATCACACCCTCACAGATGGTGGCCAATGCCTTCTGCTCGGCCGCCCAGCTCCAGCCCCAGCCCGCCACGCTGCTCGGGAAAGCCGGGGCCTTCCCGCCCCCAGCTGCACCCAGTGCCCCTGGGGCCCAGGCTCATCCCCGCCCCAGTGGGGCACCCTGGCCCCCGGAGCCAGCACCTGCCCTGGCCCCCGAGTTGGACCCCTTTGAGGCCCAGTGGGCAGCATTAGAAGGCAAACCCGCTGTAGAGAAGCCTTCTAACCCCTTCTCGGGCGACCTGCAGAAGACAGAGATTGAACTGTAGCCTGAGCTGCCCCGTCCACCCCACTATCTCCAGGTGCCCCACGCCTGGGAGTGGAGGCCCCACCTCTCCCCTCATCCTGCTCCCTGGGGTGCACCCCTCAACATCCCCTCTAACCTCTCCTCTCCACTGCCCCCGCACCCACGACAGAACCAACAGTGTGATGCCCAGGTTGTGACAGGATGGAATTCAGGGATGGACCCAGCCTGGCTAAGGGACCCATTTCACTGCCAGACTCAGGCTGGCGATGCCCTTTTGCCCTCGCCCCAGACACAGGGGACAGCCACAGTCCCACCGAGTGCCCTCGGTTCAAACTACATTTTCCAGTTTCTGTTGTTAACCTTCCCCCTTCCATGTTGGATGGGGAGCTGGAGGGGTGCCCACTTAGGGGCTCGCCTGGGCCCCACACAGGTTGCCCCCGCCCATGCACAGCACAAGCAAAGGGCTTCCCTCTGCCCGCCCACTGCACTCACTGCCAATGCTGTGCTCACCCCTGTTACCCCCTCCCCCACTCCACGGCCCACGTCTTCCTTGGACCAAGGTCTCGTGGGGGCAGGGGCCGAGTTAGGGGCCCAGGAAATGGGGTAGAGGGAAGGGAAAGGAGATGCTCAGTTACCTCACGTCGGTGCCCGCTGGGGAGGGGTCCAGAGGAAAGGGGAGTGGTGCCTGGCGGGTACTTTTCTATCTTTTATTTCCAGATTTTTTTTGTATCTAAACTTGCAGATTTGTATTATACCAGGACAGCCAATAAAGGAAGAGTATAATGGTGCCCCTCAGGAAGGCGGGGGTGTGTGTCGGGGCGGGGTGAGGTCGCACAGCCCTTCTTCCTGAGTCACCCCCTCAAACAGGAGGGTCTCCCAGCCTAATAACCTGGGTCAGAGCATAGCAGCAGGTGGCAGCCGCCCTGGCGCTGGAGAGGTGAGTAGTAAAGGGTGCCCAAAATTAGTTACCCCACTTCTGATTCTACAGATTCTGACCAAGGAATTAAAACAATAATCTGCTGCTAATAAGTTCAGTATTAAAATCCCTTCACATAATGAAGTTTGGAATAGCATATCTTTGAGCTGGCAAATTCTTGTATCGTCAGTTTTTGCTCTGTGACGTAGGCCGAAGGGCCGTTTGATGGGGCAGCATGTTTTTACGTCTGTCTTGTTTCTTGGGCCCCTTGGGTTAATCTACAAGTTATATATTTTTAAATATCTAATATGTAAATTATATACTTAATCCTTTATCGCTCTTTAAAATGAGGTGGTTGATTTGGTGAGACCCAGTGTCATGTCCCCATTTGATGGGTGGGGGAGTGGGGGTCATTCACCCGAGGTCACACACCTGATTAGTGGGGAGCCTGGATTCACACCGACCTCAAGGCCAGTCAGTCCACCAGGCTGCAAGGCAGACGGGCCCAGGGACTGACCTGGGGAGTTTTCACTACAGCCCATTACTCAGCTGTGGATCCTGGACTCGGGGACATATGACAGGTGACTCTGCCAGGATACCAGGGAGGGAGCAAAGGACTCTGCTGGAGATGAGCCACACTTTATCATCTCCAAGCCTTTGCAGATGTCACTCCCTCTGCCAAGGACACCCCTACTTGACACTACCTTCTCCCAGAGAAATTCCACTCATTCTTCAAGCCTCTTATAAGTGGACACTTCCGAGACCCTGTCCCCCCACACCTCCCATACAATCCCTAGAAAGGGTTTTTTTTTTTTTTTTTAAGATTTTATTTTTCAGAGAGGGGAAGGGAGGGAAAGACCAATGTGTGGTTGCCCCTCATGCGCCCCCTACTGGGGACATGGCCCACAACCCAGGCATGTGCCCTGACTGGGAATCAAACCAGTGACCCTTTGATTCCTAGGCCAGCACTCAACCACTGAGCCACATCAGCCAGGGCCTTAGAAAGTTTTTAAAAACCTTTGACCCTTCAGTCTGAGTAGGGAGCACTGCCCCCGAACCTGGATCCTACAGGGCCCTGACATCTCTGCCTCTGTTTCCCTAACCTGGCTCTGATCCAGCGGGGCTTGCCGCTATCTGGTGCCCCATTGCATTGAGTGAGGGGTGGGTCTGGGGTGCCCTTGGTCACCTCAGTGTGCCAGCGCAGGGCTGGGCACAGAAGCATCAAGCTCAGCAATTCACTTCTGCACATGGTGCATGAGAGGGGCAGAAAGGCCTGACTTGGACAGGGATGATTCCAACTACTGGACAGATGGGGAAAGTGAGGCCACGTGGTGCACAAAGTCAGGGACATAGTCAAGCTCCTCTTCTCTGCCAAGGGCTATGTTTACCCAAAACCTTCCCTGTGACCAGAGCAGGCTTTCTCAGAGCCCTCACCCCGTCCCCCACCCCCCCACACACCAGTCCGGGAGACGCAGACGTTCCCGTGTGTGGAGATCCAGGCTCCCCGGGACCTCCACAGGCTCTCCTGAGCCAATTTCCCCATCTTCCCTCCCACGCCCGATGGCAACACCCTCTTCCAGGTGCTTCTCCCTCCACAGACACCATAGATGTGGGACTAACCTCCCACCCTGTACTTCCCCCAGGCTTGGACTCAAAATAGACATAGGGACAACCGCGTTGACATCCCTGCCCTACCGGTGACCTCATCCCACTAACGCAAAGTGCTGCACCCCAACCCCTTCTTGGAGGTCATTTTGGAATGGACGTGCAGATCAGGCTGGTTCGGCGCCCCCTTTCCGGTTCAGCTGCTCCTTCCTCCCGCCTCAGGGCCACTCGCTGCTCCCTTGGTCGAGGTCTCCCCCGCACAAAAAATCTCCTAGCCCCGCCCCGCCCCCCCCACTGAGCTACACGGGTCAATCCTACAGGGGCGCGGTACAACAGCGCCCCCTTGTGGCCCTTCCCTCGGGAACTCAGCGGGGCCTCATTCTACCGGCTCCGAACGAGAGCCCAGCCAGACCGAGGCTAACGCAGAAAAAGTCTTTTAAAAATTGGAGTCTCAGTCATGAACAACATTCTCCTTCAGGCGCTGGCTCAGGATTTTGCTCCTCTAGGAGGTCCTCCCTGACTCCTCCAGTCCTGCGGTCCAACGGTGCTTCCCCGCCCCAACCCTGACCCTTCTGCCAGTTTCCCCCATCCCGGCCCCACCCTCTGGGCCGTCACTGTGGGCCTATGAGGGCAGGGACAAGGGCTGTCTTGGTCACCACTGTGTCCCCAGGATCGCCCAGAGTGGACACAGAGTAGGGTTCAGACGACCTGCAGGGCACCTCTTACGGAGCATTCTCTCTCTCAACCCATATTCTGCCTTGTTTTATTTAATAGTTTTATTGAAGTATAATACACATGTAAAATTCACCTGTTTTAAGTGCTTTAACGATTTACAGTGATTTTACAGACTGCAACCATCACTACAATCCAACTTCAGAACATTGCCATCGCCCTAAAAAGACCTCTGGTGCTCACTTGCAGTCACTTCCTTTTCCCACCCAGGCCTCAGGCAACCACTGATCTCCTTCCCAACACGCGGATTCTTTTCCTCCATTTATACGCACGTTCTGAGTGCTGGCTTCTGTCATCAGTTATTGAGTGCTGAGGATGCGGTGACACACCCGCCCTGCTCTCAGGGAGCTCCAAGTCTGGTAGGGGCTTTGTCTGACGGGAAATCTGTCCAGTCAGTCATTCATTGATACTATTGAGCATTGAACATATGAACATTGAAATATGCATTGATACTAATTGAGCGCTTCCCATGTGCCAGGCACTATTCTAGGATGTAGGGATGTAGCAGTAGGGGAAAAGAGGGGCAAAAGTTCTGCTCTGCTGGAGTTGATATCGTAAGAAGAAGATAAAAAAGATAAACAAGAAGATGTGTGATACAATGGCTGGTTGTGATGATAAGTATTTTGCAGGGGGAAAAAACAACACTCTCCTTTCTAGAGGAAGGGGGAGAGTGTGATGAGTGGGATCTGGGGACAGCCAGAGAGCACCTCTCTGAGAGGAGAGCATTTGACCAGAGACCTGGCCAACATGCAGGAGTCACAACCTGATCTGAGAGAACGTGTTCCCAGCAAAGGCCCTGAGGTAAGCGCACACTGTCAATGGAGGGCTGGAGAGCTGGGGAAGGCAGTCGGAGATGAAGTCAAAAAGTTATAGAACAGCTGCCCAAAGCAGCCCTTTCCCAAGTTACTGTGACAATGACAAAACATTCCACACACATTTCCAAAGGTCTCGCAGGCCCTGACCCTAGGTGAGAATCATGGCCATCAGCTTCTGGGAGCCAACAGGAGTCTCGGCCCTTCAGACTTCTGTAATATGATGTCAAATTGGAATTTTTCAGGACCTTACAGAATTGCTTCTAGGGCCAAAGCCAAGGACAAAAGTGGCCAACTACCCCATAGCCTAAGTTTGAGGTCACAGGGACAGGAACCAGCCACCTAACCAAAGAACTCACTGCAAGAACCCAGGGCTGGCCCAGCTTCCACCACCCACCCCATCCTCCCTCAGAGAAGGATGGGGCGGAGAAAGCAAATGCCAGAGGGTAGAGTTCTCAAGAGAAGAGACCTTTCTCTCCCCTGTGAACTTGGAGTGAGGTGTCAGCAGTTTTTCCCCCTCAAATATTTCTTGTGAAGAGTATAAATCTATGGAAAAGTTGAGAGACTAGTATGATAAACTCCACATACCCTCCGCCTAGAACCAGTGGTTGTTACACTTCATGCTATTTGTTTTCTCTGTCGCTGAACCCGCACTCATGCTCGAACACACACCCACACGCGGGACCCAGCATCTGCTGAGTCATCCCGAGTCTTGGCTACCAAATCCTGCAGCACATGTCCTCTAAGAACGAGACCATCTTCTCACCCAAAACACCGTCATCACATCTAAGAACAGTAGCAATCACTTCCAAAGATGATCTGGTGTCCAAGACCGCACTTTAGAATGAACGAAAATGAGAATCTGGTGAAAATTGTCACTAAGGTTCCCTGTAACCTTGTTACCAGACAGTGAGCCTGACCCTGAGCAGGTCTGCCCAGGGCCAGCCAGTAGTGTGTGGGTTCTTGACATCGTGCAGGAAAGATTGCACAAGACTATGAGGGTACGTTTATTTAATAATTTATTTTATTTTACTTATTTTTAGACAGAGGGGAAGGGAAGGAGAAAGAGAGGGAGAGAAACATCAATGTGTGGTTGCCTCTTGTGTGCCCCCAAATGGGGACCTGACCTGCAACCCAGGCATGTGCCCTAACTAGGGATTAAACCTGTGACCCCCTGGTTTGAAGGCCAGCGCTCCATCCACTGAACCACGCCAGCCAGGGTGAGGGTACATTTATTAAAGCTGGGGACAGTGAGACCAGGAAGGGCCTAGCATAGAAGCAGCAGCAGGAGAGCCTGGGCTGGGCTGCCTGAGCTCACTGGGAAGTCAGAGAAGAGAGGGCTGTGCAGACAGGTTCATGGGATCAGCCTGGGACCAGCTGCCGCTGCCCACTGCTCCCCTGGTCAGTTTAGGAGGTGCGTGCCTGTGGGGAAGAAGAGGGCAAAGGGAAGGGCGCTGGTTGCTCCCCAGAGAGAGAGCCTGTTGGGTCCTTGGTCTTGAGGCTTTTATCTCTCTCTTACAGGTGGGAATCTCAGGGGAGGGTTTCGGTAGAATATTCATCAGTTTTCCAGGTGTCCCCTTTCAGGGTCAGGGTCTCCACTCTTGGTCAGCGACATGGCAGGGGGTCGTTAGTCATTGCAGCTGGTCCTGGCATAGCCTACCTGGCTCTGCTGCTTTTCTGGGCCTGGAGCTGAAACACAACTGGGGCCTGGAGGTCATCTCTCTCGGGAGGTAATCCTTCGGATCTGGCTGTAAACTTCAGCCAGTTTATTCAGCTCTCTCTAGGTTTTCCTAGTCTACCTGTCCTGGCTTACTGGCCTCTCTCAGCTTTGATCCAGAAGGAAAAATATAATTAGCATAGATAGCAGGGAGGAGCAGTCACTGAAAAACAGAATGAAACTACCCCCTCCTTATCCACAGGGGAAAGTAGCCCTCCCTGGGAGTAGCCCTCCCAGGACCTGAGGGTCCTGGCTTTTGCAGGGGAAAAGCCAGGACCCTCAGTGAATGCCTAAAACGTGGATAGTACCAAACCCTAAACATATTCCCTATGTTTTTTCC